AGAATATCGGGTGGTCCCCGTTCCCGGTGTAGGCCCCACAAGAATTTTACTATTCACGTAAAAAGAAATGACAAAAATTTACAATCATGTAAAATTCGTTATTCATATCTCAAGGTTCAATACAACACTTAATAAAAGTAAATATACTTGGGGACGGGGTTACACGAGGCCCAAGTATACCCTGAGATGAGGAGCGTGCAGGGGGAGAGAAACCTGGAGTGGTAGGGTATGGGCAAGGAGGCACGTTCAAGTAGGGATTCATCCAAGGACCCCACGTCGGATAGCCGGAATAGGGTCAACGGAACTGGGGGGCTTGAATGACTATGAGGGGGCCGGTGGGTCAAGTCCATGTGGTCAAGGACTTCATAAGCGCGAGCTGTGAGTTTGAAGAGTATCGAACATTTTCAAGGTCAAGGGTGAGGGGAATGAAATTTTTGATGGAGGTTACGTTACGGCTAGAGCAGGGTGAAAGGAGGTTTGGTTGGTGTAGTCATGGTGACTGAAGCAGGGAGAAAGGATCGTAATAAGGGAAGTCTGATACCAAGTTAGATTGGCAATATTGACGGTGAGAATCATATGTGCATTCATCATCGTAAATAAGGAGTGTAGTACATGATAAGAATACATCAGCGGCATAACAAACTGAGCTGCCTAACTAAATGATATACAATACATGCCATCCGTAGGAATAGCAGACTACTTATATTAGGTGGCAACTCCGGTACCCTTCTAAAAAATGGGGTATTGTACCTATCATTCATTTGATTGGACCACATCACTTTATCATTTTTAATTTAAATTTAAATAATTCAACTGTTACATTCTCATTGGTTCATGTAGACAAAGTTATGGTACCTTCTTATGGGTACCATAGAATCTACCCTTATTATACGTAGTAGTTGGTCTAATTATTACGTACTTTGTATATACGTATGTGACAAGTTACAGCACATAACATAATGAATAACACGAGTAATAATTCGATCAATTTATACATCGGAAATGATGTGTGTGTCTATAATAGTAGTGAGTTATACACGTACATGCATTTTAGAAGAAGGGAAGAAATCATTATACTACGTGTTTATTAAAAATAATATGAATATATGTCAAAGTTCAAATGATGTCACAATTCATAAGATCTATGGAGTAAATATGTAATACATTGGGGCAAGCTGCCTTAAAAACAACAACAGCACTCATCCACCACGCAACAGCAGCACAGTCCAGCAAAACTGCATAAAAGAAAATAGATTGGATTTGAAAGTATGACCGTCGACAATAACATTACAAAATGTTTAAGCATTTTTCATGCTCACTTATCAAATAATTAGGATGGCACAATATCCCTCTGTTAAGGCACAGTCCAGCAAAATCTCTTGGCAAAATCGAATTGGTAAACATTTTTCATGCTAACTTATCAAATGACTTCTAAAACGAATTTGTCTTTTCATTTTCTTTTCTGTATTTTTTTCCTTTGTTTTTCTTATTTTCACTTCACGTATTGAACTATTTAATTTTATTAACAAAATCACTTTTCTTTCAACAAAAGAATCAAATGACTTCTCAATAATCAAAATAAAGTAATTGTCTTAAATGAGAGTAAAACAGTGAGAAAATTCCAAATTAAGAGTGGTTACTGATTTCTTCCTTTTGAATAGGAGTATGTGGTTGAACACTCTGTTCGTTTTACCAATTATACCCTTATTTGCAAATTAATTTGTTTTATTTTGTCAGATCCTTTTCCTTTCACGCAACCTTGAGAGGCCTTATCCTCTCTTTCCTTTCTGCATTGCCGCTTCTGCCTCTCTCCTCTTCCATCTCTCCCCTCTAAAAAATTTCTCTGGCCATTTCCGATCTTCGATCTCTATTTGTCACCCACTCCGGTCACCGGCGGACGGCGATGATAATCACAGGTAAGCTTTGATCTTTCTTCGATCTCCTTCTCTCCCTTGATCTCTTCTTCTCCTTGGTCTTCTATTTCTTCTCCCTTCTCTTATTTGGTCGGCGGCATAGCCTGTTTTTTATTGCACCTTGAAGTTGCTAGTTATTATTGGACAGCCAAAATAATAATCCATAACTTTTTGATTAATTTTTCTTCCACTTTCTACCATCTTTCCAGATCTGTTTTTGTTTTTTTGCTTTCTTTTCTTGATTTTATTGTTCTCTTTCCATTTTGTTTCATTGATTTCGAGATTGTATTTGGGTTGAATATGAATTTGCCGTCGTTTTTCTTTCATCTTTTTGTTTTTTAACTTTTTGTTTTATCTTTTTTCATTAAGTTAATATTTTTTACTTTCATGTCGATCAATTTTTTGACTCTTCAAATTAATTTTATGATTTGAATTCCAAGTAGATATAATTGCTTTTAACTTTTTGTCATTGAAATAAAAATATTACTTCTTTGCAAATAATGCCAAGTTTTCTACGTGAAAATATTATTTTGACATTTAGTGTCACTTTTATGGTGGCATTAACTCTTCTAGATGGAAAAAAACAATACCAATAATGCCATATTTTTTCATATATACAAAAGTAAAATTTGCCCATATTGTCATTTATATGTCACTAACTATGTAGTGATGACAATATTATTTCCCCTGCAAATCCAACATTTATAATGTCAATAAAGTGTCAAGAAGACACTAACATTCATATCCTCTTTTTTATTGCATAAATCTTACTAAAAAAGATTTTTGTGAAATGATATTTTAAATTAATTTTTACAGATCTGAGATATGTGATGGTGGAGTCAAAAATGGTGGTGGTGCTAGAATAGGTATGAGGTTGTGATGATTGACCAATGGTGACCCGCGACTGGCACTTGACAGCTCTGAGGCCGGCAGATGAGACGTTAGTGATGAAAATTGCGGCGGCGTCTGGCGGTGTACGGCGGCGGTAAGGGGCAGCTGATGGTGGTGACTGGTGCAGGTCTTGTCCCCTGGATTCTGACGGAGACAACAAGGCTGGAGTGGGCAAGAGGGGAAAATATGTCGTTGTTGCAAACTCATTAAATTGGAATTCATTTATTTATTATCCTATTGTACTATATAAATTGGAATTCATTAAGGGCATTCTTGTCCCTTACTATTAATTTCCGTGTGGCAAACTAGAAGTGGGATAGGAGTCCTACTTTTGCACAATGGATATGTTTTACTCCTAAACTAGGAATTCTCTCATCAAAATAAGTAAAGTTAAATTATTTTTGTGACGAAGTTGGCTCAAATTATTACTGAACATCATTTTAACTAGTTTGCACATGCATAATTCGTTCTTTGCTCTACTAGTAAAAGGGAAAATCACATTTTATTCCTCAATTAGTCACCAAATTAAAATGTTAAACTCTTGTTTATGAGATGGTAAATGTAAGCTTTGAATTGACAAATGTGTCGTAAATGTCATTCTCAGTAGATTTATTGGTAATCCAGAATTGGAGATGGATTATAAATGACAGAATGACATTTAAAACAAATCTGTTAATGCGAGGGTACATTCACAATCTCAGAAACACATGCAGCTCGTTCTGATCGAACTCCTGTATGGCTGTATATAAATACAAGTAACTAGACGTTATGTAAAACAAAAGTGTACAAAACAAAAGTGTACATATAGTATGGCTCACCCTCCTACTTTTTTGTAAAATTAAAAGTGTACAGAAAAGGGCGGTATATATGTGAACCCGTGAAGATTTTGACTTACCATCCTTTCCAGAAGCCACCCTCTCTAGTTTTGGTCTTGTTCTTTTTGCGTAAACGGCCTCTGGTTTCAGTGTTAGGATGGTTGGGGGAGACATCGCTCACCCTCGGATACCCGGCTGGCTGAGACCCCATACAGACTTGAGGCTGTTTCGCTGCTCAGTGTCCAACCATTTGAAATACAAACAAAGTGTTAACATTACACGATTAAAATTATATGCTTCCTTTTTCAAAATCACTCATGATAATTGAGTGGTTACATTTAATGTGGGAAAATCAAATGAATCCGTCCCCAATCGGCCAGAAACAAGAGTTGACACCCCTCATTAAATTTAAGTGTAACACGTTTATGTTTTTGGCCGTATCGATCCTAAGTTGACACCATCTTATGTGTAACACATCCTTGTTAATGAGATGTTAATTTAAGTGTAACACATCCAAAATCACATCCTATATATGTGGAAAATCACTCTTGTCATCCACATTAAAAAGTTGACACCACTCAAATTTGACTTCGTTGATCCGTCCCCAATCGGCCAATTGGGACACAGCTATTTTTTGTTCGTTCAATAAAGACAGGCTATTTAACTTATTTCGATCAGTTTAAAGCACGTAAAACGTATTAAAGCATATATATACCATAATCAAACATGCAGGTCGGGATTGACTATTGAGACTATTTCGATAGTATACAAGATAAAGGAAGAACGTACGTGTCATTCAGAAAAGAGGTAATTAACGACATAATTACATTGGAGAATCGTATAAAAATGGTCATCTGGTAATTAAAAGACGTACATACCATCATCACAGACATGATAATCCTCCTGGTTCATGCTTTTAATTGTCTGAGTTCTTCTTTCGAGGATGGGTTACAAAATAATTAACTCAATATATAGTACTCTATATACTTGTATGTTTTAGGTAATTGTACAAGGCGTCAAGGTGTGATATATATAGTAGTACTACTTCAGATGCAGTGCGTATAAACTTATCTTCAATTCGTGGAAAGGTCAAAACATTAAAGGGATATGCTTCAAGTTTTTGGTCAAAGCTAAGATTGGTAGAAGATTGAAGGAGTTATTGTCCTAAATAGGACTAATTTATTGATTAAATTCCAAAATAGGAGTGGTAAATTTTTTATTCCCGGATAAGATGAATGTTACAATTTTACCCCTCTGACCTACTCCTTATTTTAATGTTACGCAGCAGTTATCTCCATCCGCATCAGTCATTTTAAAAAATTTATCTTCTCCGTATTAAAGTTTATCTTCTCCCTTAGCTTCTTCCGCACAGTGAACTGTCCGCATCAGTCTTCTTCATCTCTAGCAATAAGTTGGGCGGCGATGGTGATTGTTGATGATCGGTGGTGAGAAACAGAGAGCGGCGGTGATGGTGGCGGCGATGACCGGCGAAAAGTGTAACGATGAGCGGCAACTTTATTTCAGATCCGGTGGTGAGATTGATGCTCATTATTCTTCTTTCATCTTTTCCTTCCTTGATTTCTGTTGGTTCACTGGTTTTGTGGTTTTCTCCTCTTTGATTTCAAAGTAGATCTCGTTTTTTAAAGGTTAAATTTTGTTTTAAAAATGCCATGAAATTGGCAATACCACTGTTCAAAAATGTCATGTTTTGCTTTGAAAATTCCATCAAAATGGCATTCTCGATTTTTGTTTGGCATTTTGATAAAAAAAATGGAATTAGCGTAGATAGTGGGCAGATCTAGGGCGGTGGAAGCCGGTTTTGCACCTGCGGAGACCGGATCTGCATCGGCGGCACCCAGATCTGCAGGTGCAGCGGTTTATAGCGGCGGCCGCCGCCGCTTGCGGCCATATCTTCAACGGCAATGGACAAAAGCTCTGTTTCATATTTGGTGGTTAAACAAATTCCAAGTTTAATTTGAAATGCCATAAAAATGACATTTTTACTCTTCAAAAGTTTCATATTTTCCTTTGACAATGCCATTTAAATGACACTCTCGACTCATGATGGCATTTTGATAAAAATTTTGGCATAAGGTCAGATCTGCAACAATGGAGACCGGATCTGCAGCGGCGGAGGTCAAATCAGTAGGGGCGGCGGCCGGAGGTCGAGGGCGGCCGAATCTACGGCGAAAGCGGACAGATCTGCGGTGACAACGGCCGGATCTGCGGTGGTGCCTGATTCTGTGGCGGCGGCGGCCGGAGACCGGCAGTCCAGCGGCGGCCGGAGACCAGCGGTCCGGCGGCGGTCCGATTTTCTATTGGCAGCCGTTTGTTTTGCTAATTATGCTTTGGGGCATTTCTGTCAAGTTACAAATAATAACTCCTATTTAGGGAACTTTTAAAGTTTACTCCTCTTTTAGCAATTAATGATTTATTTACTCCCATTTAGGTAAATCTCTCAAGATTGAATTGTCAAAACGCCCTATTGTCTATATTATTTAGGGTAGCCACCTAAATACCACTAATCCCAAAAAGATACTAGTTAATGATGATAAACTTAGGACAACGATTTTAATAATTATATTATTAAAGGGAGTATGTTATATTGACTTTTCTTGATCAATGATGATAAATTTAGGATAACAATTTTATTATTAAAGGGAGTATGTTATATTGACTTTCTTGATCAATGATGATAAACTTAGGACAACGATTTTAATAATTATACTAGGTTTCAAGCCCGTGCGATGCACGGGTAGTACATAATTTAGCTAATTTTAAATTTGATATTTTCGAAATCATATATAATGGGATGCAAAAGAAAAATAAACTCAATCTAAATATAGAGTGTGTTTGATAATACTCGTAGTAAAATTAGCGAAATCAGCTTATTTTACTGAAATTGATTAAATTCGGGTTGAATCACTTGAATGGGCTGAATAGGCAGAATCTATCAAATCATGAAAAAAATTAAAAAATATTTCACTTGTAAAATAAAGAGACAATTATATGGAAAATATTCAAAATGTTCTTTTACATAAGCATCTCAACTAAACACAATTGTGGTGAACCCAATTTTAAAGAATTCATAGAGAAGCTTCTTAATTAATCTCATGTCTTCTAAATTATTTTATTATGCACCTCAATTTTTTTTCATATTCCTCATTGAACTTGGTATGAACTGTGGAGTATTTACTTTTAACTTTTAATAGTAAGATATTACATTTGACTCATTATTTCATCACATTGAAAATGTAAGAAATGGAGTGTTTTTACATTTTACTCATTATTTTGTCACATTGAAAATGATTTTTAATTGTTATGAACGTCTATATTACTTTAATGAGCATTTCAAAATAATAATTTTCTAATATTTCTCATTCAACTTGGTATGAAATACATATTTTTAAATTTTAATAGTGAGTTAGGTTCTTACATTTAACTCAATTTGGTACTCCGTAGTAAAAATAAAGAAATGAAACAATCCAACATATTTACTTTTGGCTAGACTAAACGTGTTAACTTGTGAACACACATATGCATGTATGATATCAACTTTCATCCTTATTAAATACTACGTACTACGTAATAAAGATAAGATACTTGATTAGAAGTATTTTCTTTATATGATTCTATATATGAATGTCTAATAGTACTAATTTCGCTTTTAATTTCAAAAATTTGGTGGTTATAATTTTCATCATTGTGTTAATAATTAAGAAAGCATTATACGAAGATGTAGAAAAATACGAAGTATTAACACAGTTTCAAATCTATAGCTTAAAATTTTAATCATGATCTCAACATTGAGTTTAGAAGAATAAAATATACGGAGTGACATTTTAGGAAATAGGACACTATTAATACTTTTTTTATATAAATAATTTTGAAGACAAAATAAATAGCAATTTGGCTGATTTATCTATTTGTTTAAGGAACTGATTTATCTGTTAAGTGGGCAAAACAAAGATACTTTATTTCTTCAATAAAATGTAATAAAAAATAAGAAGTATAACAATAATAAAAAAATTATACGTGCTTATAAAAGTACTTTATAAAAAGTACTTCGTATGATTACTTATTTAATAAGTATGATTCCAATTAATGAATTTCATAATTATTAAATAGGTTTTGCAAAAGTTTCCAAATAAGGTGAATTTTTATCATAAAGTCTTTTGTTTCCATATCAATATGAAATCAAAAATAGAATCTAATAAAATAAATAAAAGATACGGAATATTAAAAAAATTAAATGATGGATGACATGGCATGATTAGGTGGCGCTTTGTATGCTCTTAAAAAGTTCCTCTTCTATATATATATATATATATATATATATATATATATATATATATATATATATATATATTGATTTATATACTACTACGTATATTTTATAAACTTTATACTTGTATGAAAATATTATGAACAAATAAGAAACATTTTGATATAATTTTCATATTAAAAAATCATTTCTTATTAAAAAATATCATTAATCAAAATCGATTTCCATTAATTACAAAAATCAGTTTGGCGACCTTTATGGGACAGATGAAGTAATTAATAATCCCAACACGTTTACTTCCTTATGCAAGACTAGTGGAGTTGAACAAAACCATGACAATTGTAGTCTCGCAGAAGTAGACAATTGGAACAAAAAATCTTGTCTCGGGAGATATTGAAACAAAAGATGTGTATTAGTGTATATAGACATACATACATACTACATATTAATCGAAACCATTCACTACAAATAATTGTTTCTTCTTTATTACAACCAAATCAATATTACACGTCAAATTCAACTGAAATTAAAAAAAACAGACATTAATTTACGGATGCCCCATTATAGTAAGAATTACAAGCGGAAGAACTCAATTCGGATGCTCTTAATTAATCGCAACATATTTCATATATCCCACAGCAGCACAGTGCAGCACAACTGCATTCAACAAAACAAAACATATTCAATGTAAAATCTCAAAATTAGGACTATCCACTACAGTTAGAGAGTGTTTGCAACTGCTTCTGCTTAAAAAAAAGCACTTTTGGAGAAGTAAGGAAAAAGTGATTGGTAGTAAAAGTTGATAGTGTTTGAGAAAAAAGTGATTTTGAAAAGTAAAAGTTGATAGTGTTTGGTAAAATAAGTGTTTTTTGTGTAATAGAAAAGGGAAAAGCACTTTTCACACGCAAGCCGAGAAAAAGTAAAAATTGGTAGTGTTTGGTAAATAAGTGCTTTTTAAAGCCAAAAGCTGAGAAGTGATTTTTTTTAAGCAGTTGCAAACACTCCCTTAGTTAAACTCAATGATGAAAAAATGAAATTGATTAAAATATGATTAACGTAAATCACAGACAAAGTTCTAAAATAAAACTTAGCAAGTCTGATCCTAAAAATAGGACTTATTGAGTTCTACTAAAGAACAAAACATATATTATAGAGATATTACCCGAAATAGGACTAAAAAGGTTCGAAAATTCCAAAATAGGACTGTCATGTTTTTATTCCCAAAATAAGACTAATTACTGTCATGTTTTGGTAATATCAGACTTCAAACATGACAGTATTTTCCAAACTTGACAGTAATTACTCCTATTTTGGGAATAAAAAACATGTCAGTCCTATTTAGAAATTTTCAAACTGTTTTAGTCTTATTTCGAAAACTTTCCCTATATTATACGTACGAACTACATAAGTTTACTTTATAGCCGTCAACTTATTGGAATGGTTTATATACGTGAGGCACTAAGATTTAAGAAATTGTAGCAAAATATTAGTGGTAAGCCCACCAAATTTAAAACCTACCACAAATTTGTTGTCCTCTCGAAGGAGAATATGAATCCTTTCTTTTGCCTTTTAGGTAGCCAGCTGTGTGGATTATCACATGCCGGCCACTCCCATAAAAAAATGAACTTTTCTTCTTGATTAATTTGGTCCGAATCATTTTGTCACGTGTAATGTATAATTATATTGATATTCCAAATTAATCTTTTCTGTAATCCTTTGTATGACAGAAATAGTACATCTTTTATTAGAGAATATATATCAAATAATATACTCGTATGATCAATTAACAAGTAACAATTCTTTGTAGTTTTTACTTATTTTTCCTAGTAATTAAATATTGACTCATCGTAAATCATTACACATTTATTTGATTTAATTCATATGTTTGGCACAAATAGCTGAAAAAAATACTTTTATTAGTTTTTTAGTAACAGTTAGTTTTTAGTAAATGAAAAGATATTGAAATAAAAAGGTGATAAGTGTCTGATAAAAAAACTGATTGTTAGATTTAATTGCGTTTGACATACAAATTGTTGGCACTCATCATTACAAACTGTGTATTTCCTAACCACTATAAACTGTGTATAAATGGATGAGAATATATTTATTCTTTTGAAATAAAGTTGAGCAATTTGACTTTTCTTGTCAAATGACATTAAAGTTTAGTCAATGATTTTAGGTACTATTTTTGTGTGTAATTTATAAATTTTATACTTTTGTGAAATATTTTTTAATAAAGAATATGCTCATAATTTTTCATATTTTAAATAACTGTACTAAAAAATATCATTGAACAAATTTGACCATCATTAACGAAAAAAGTCAAATTGGTCAATTTTATTAGGAAGGAGGGAGTAGTTAAATTAGATTGGATGACAAGGTTTAAAGATCGTGTAGTGAGTTTGTGATTATATAATGTTGACTTACCATCCTTTGAGGAAGCCATCGCCCCTGGCTTTGGTCTTATGACGCTTGGGGATGACGGCGGCTTCTACGTTTCCGGCCACCCTTGGATACCCTGCCGGTGGAGATCCTACAATTCCCGGCCCTTTGGCAGCTTCTGCATTCGTAAAAACTGATCGATCCAAATACAAAATAATGCACGTTAACCTCATGCAAAATTATAATTTGTGTTCAGATTTATAAATTACTACGTCCGTCCCACTAACTTTGGGACAAAAGAAGAAGGTGAAATCATTATTAAAGTAGGAATATTAAAGTAGGAATGATTTCGCAGGACACAAATTAAGAAACAAATATATTTCCATGATCGACCTACATAATTGTAATACGTACGTATTTAATTTCTCCCATGCTGCACAAATACAACATGTAAATGAACGAACACATTAGAAATTCAGTAGACCTCCAAGTCTTAATACTGGGAGTGAGTTGTTTTAATTTCCCACCGGCTAATTTGTACTTGTATTTGTGAGATATGTCAAAATAATTGTTATCTGTTATCGCACACAAAGTATATATTATGAACAATTAAGTTGTATTTAATTTGAATTAAGTTTTATATACTACGGATAAAGTTATGATGCATGCAAGGATCTTAAATTAGCACGAAAAAAGTTAAGGAAAAACGTAACAAAATTATTAATTACTACTCCGTATGATATAATAATCGGATACACGACTTTTGACTAATTAAAATATTATGGATTAAGATAAGATAAAGTTAAGCATCAGTAAATTTGCATACCAGCAGAGACGCGATCAGATTGAGAGTTTTTCATGCTTTTTTTCTTTTGAAGTTGTGTGACAGATCGACTAAAGTATGTATGTATGCTTAGGTCGTCGTAGGTAGTTCTTGGTAGGTACTGAAAGCTAGATCTAGGGGACTATATATATATATACTCCGTAGTTTTTAATTTATTTCGAGGCAAAGTGGAT